ACATAAAGTGAAAACTGGATACAAAATCCACAATCAATTACAAATTAAATTACAGTTTCAAGAATCTGCAAATAAGGTGGTCTGTCCTCATGAGCAATGTAAACAACATTGTATCATTTAGATACCGAAAGTACAATATATTGAACACTGTGCTGCTGTCATTTCCCCCTAATGATAACCTGAGATGGTGAATTATAACTCACAATGAAAATTGTTCAGGAAAGTGGGTATAGAGTAGACATGTAGAACTCGATAAGCTTATGATAAGCCAGCCTTGTCTACTTATTAAGGAAAAGTGGGAGGTTCTTTTTAATGAACATTAGCTTCTCTGCTTTATCAGCCATAAGTCTGCTCCTCTTCTCATCAAGCACATGAGAGGCAGCGCTGAACAGTCTCTCGCTGTCAGTGCTTGTGATTTGATCTTACTCCGCATATTTGTCCGGGTGTTTTGATTTCAAGTGGTGGAGTAATCCCGAAGTGGTGAAAGTTAGCAGTTACACCCCCTCGAGAAATGTCAGCTGAACACGTTTTACAAATCGCAATCCGCGCCTCTTTCTCTGATATTTTTAAATATCTCCAAGCGCCAGACATGTTGGCTGTGAGCCAGCCGCGAGCATGGTCGCGCGCCGTGCTTGTTGCCGCGTTTTGATTACGTCATCACAACAACACGTTAGCTTACCAACGTAACCCTGTTCCCTGACATTCGGTGATATTTTTTCGGTGCTAAAACCCTTTCGGCCGAAAGCCGAAAGGGCCTTTTTAACCATTTTCGGCCGATAATTTTCGGCGGCCGAATATTCGGTGCATCCCTAGTGCTGAGTAACACCCTTTGGCGTTTTGACCGAGTATGCATTTACCAAACCATCACAATATAATGTACCACTTAACAAATCAGTGGTTCACCTGTTGAATTGGCACAGCTTCTGTCGGCAGTGGATGTGGGCATTTGATACACCAGAATAAAAGCTAATAGGTTAAGTGTTTTCTGTCAGTCGTNCTGGGCTGATGGTATGTGCTGAGTAACACCCTTTGGCGTTTTGACCGAGTCACTGATTTGTTAAGTGGTACATTATATTGTGATGGTTTGGTAAATGCATACTCGGTCAAAACGCCAAAGGGTGTTACTCAGCACATACCATCAGCCCAGGGTCACGGTTCAGGTCTGCATTCGTAACATAGTTGATGTTGATTGAATCTGTAGTTGGAGCCCTCAGTGATCTGCTCAGCTTGGCATTCAGCGAGTACAAGATTTTACCACAGGAGCCTTTGAAGGAGGAAGGCATGTCCCTAAAGCACAAAAGCAAAAAGCCAGAAAAACATTATAACATTTCCTGGATCTATCAAAATGAACTGCTGAAAGCTGAGGTTGATCAATAAAGATGTTTTTTAGAAGATGTTTGCGAGGATCATACATTTATTCATCCACTGGAGAGGGTAAGGGTATTTGCAACTCATTATAAGATCGATTACTTACTGGAAAGGGATCTGAAAGGTGAATGGGTAAACATGGCATCCTGGGGCAACAACATTGACGTCTGAAAAAAGCAAAAATACATTTTAAGAGGAACATGACTCTTTCACAACCCTTAAAAGAAATAACTGCCTTTTGATGACATAGCTCTGTCCTCATCAATGGCATAGAGACAGAAATACTCACATGTTTTCCCAATGTGGTTTGTCAGAAGTGGTTCATTGTCCCGTCCTGAGGAAAAATGAGCACATTAACAGCAATTAAAACGTGTAACTTGAGCTATTAAACATGTAGTCTAATAAAAAAAACTCAGAATAGTGAAACATGTATATCCTAATCTCAGGGTCACACCCAAACCCCCAAAAAGTTCAGTTAGACAAATTAGAGCATCGAATCCTTACAATTGAGAGGCTGGAATGCAGATTTTATTGGCACATAAATTAGTTTAAAAGTAGTAAATTAACAAAAAATAAGTTGTTGATTAATTTCCTGTTGATTGAATAACTAATAACCTACAAATAATCTCAGTTCAAATCATTTATGTATTTTATTTTGTTAATATGATCATACTGAGAATGATAACAGGAGACAGATGTAAACTATTTCATATCTGTATTGACATTCCCGTCCTTGTCTTGAAACATTATTGGACAATAATTATTTTTTGTTTATTATAGATTTGTGGGCTTCTTCTATTATATGAATGTTGCCGTGACCATTCAGCAGTTCTTTTATTAAAAAGGCTTGTTTCTTTTAAATAATTTTCATAGCAGGTGACCTCATGACCAATCAATGCAGATTTGTATTACTGTACTCCACTGGACAAGAACACATAACTTTTCATTGGATATGGTGTTTTCTTCTATATTATATCAATACTGTTGTGAAAATAAAAATGTGTTTATTGGAGAGTGTGAAGCCGACAATTGAGCAGCCCAGACCAAGCAAGGAGGCAGAGGCAGAACGTCCAAAATACAACCCGGTGTGGGCATTTATTAACTCATAAACATATGACACAGCCTCAATCTGCTGCTCATGTGAACTCTGTCACCAGCAACCACAAGGATCTCACACACACTACCAGCCATTAGACACAGGTGGTGGGGGGGAGGAGACAACACAGGGCACCAGGTGCACACAATCAACAGCAACAGACATGGGGAAAGGGGAACACTTTTCAACATAAAACCAGCAAACGGAGACAGACAACCTAAAACACAGACAGATGCACACTACATACATTTCGCCACCAACAAAGCTACACAATTCGTAACGGAGGCCGAGATCTATGGCCCCAAAGATCACCTCCGTTACAGAGAGTCTCATAGGTTATCAATAACTTCCTTGTCATGTATTGATTTTTAATAAAAACGTATATAATACAGAAGGTGGAATAAAATCTCCCCCCCCAAATTGGTGTGTCCTCGTACAGTGTAGCCTAACAGTGCTGCATTGATTTGGAGTCACTCGGTCATACAGAATGAGGGTATTTAAAGAAATTGAACTTTTCTAATTGAATATTGCTGAGTTTCCCACAAATATTTATACAAAATAGACTAAAATCCAATAACGAGGTGTGATGTATTATGCCTGTGTAGTGTGTAGTAATAATATTGTGTGTGGATTTGGACCCACTGGGTCACATGATATAGATTTATTAAAAAAAAAGAAATGAGACTTTCAAATAAAAAAATCTGCAAAACGTAATAACAATATTCATATAAAACATAAAGGGCACAAACATCAAGTAATATAGCAATGCAGAAATAAAATGTTGCATTGATTTGGAGTCACTGGGTCTCATGACATTGAAGCTTTTAAAAAATATAAAACATACTGCATGGCTATAAAGCCCTTAAATCCAAGGTGTGTCTAATTTGTTCAGTGTTATAAGAATATAACGTATGTATGTGTAGTAACTGGGTCACATCACATAGAGGCTATTAAAACAGATTAAATCTTCTACAAAAATATTTAAAAGTAAAATCAATTTGTGACACCTCAGTAATAAAAAAAAGGCATAATACACCTTTGCAATATTGTTTTATAGATCAGGACTATTGAACCCTTCTGTTATCTGCCTGCCCTTTAACCACTCCTCTTAGATAACATCAAGAGAACCAGACAAAGGTACACGATAGTTGTTCAGAAGAGGTTTGTAGGGGCCTTTTGCACAAATATGCCTATTATTATTTTTAAATGTTTCTTGTGTAAATGTTATAAGAGAATTATTGATTTATCAATTGAGATCTGTTCTGCATAAGAAACATCATGCTTTTTGTATTGCAGAATATAAAGTGTTCTAATCCCTATATTATAAGTAACATTTTTTCGCTATCTGAAACAGCGTGGGAATGTTTAGTACATTCCGCGAGCTTTTATTTTGAATGTTCTGCCATGGCGCCAATCCATGTAAGCTACAATTGTTATTGTTCAACAGGTTTTGTATTTATTTTAGCACTTACTGTTATCTTTTTTTTCTCCGACGAAGAAGTGTTTGATGCTGAAGTACTTGTCCTTGGAGTGGTAGACGACAGTAGTTTGTCCGTGACGCTCGCTCCACATCACCTCTGCTTTCCCCTTGAACTGAATTGATAGGGAATCTATAGTGCACTCTTTGGTCACTTCCAGCTTGACCTCACCTGAAACACAGTCGCCACTGGTAAAGGTGTTTTGCTCATTATTTGCGGGGTTGTAGTTGACGGTGAGGCTCTTCACGGTTAACATGATGCGTAGCTTCTTAAGAAAATACGATACATTGTTGTTCCAAGCTCAAAGCGAGGAAATATAAAGCCCACCTCTCACTTCTGCGATGGGTGTGTCGCCACGAGGAACCTTTTATAGTAAAAGATAGGGCGGAACCTTGTAGGCTATTTTCCCCTCCCCTCGTTTAATATCATTATTCCTCCACAGTCCACACATGTATCTAATCAGAGTTGGGAAGTAACTAAGTAGCCATTGATTTCAAGTACTGTATCTAAGTACAATTTGGAGATACTTTTATTTTAGTATTCTAATTTTATGCTACTTTGTACTTCTACTCCACTACAATTCAGAGCTAAATTGTTTACTTTTAGTCCACTATATTTATTATGTATCTTTAGTTACTTTAAAGATTTGGACTAATGATGTTAAATATAATCAACACTTAAATAAGAATTGAGTTACACCTGGAGTAAATACACAAGCTACCCTGCAGTAATTATTGCTTGTTTGTAGCCTTTATTTATCCAGGTAAAAATCCCATTGAGATCAACGATCTCTTTTACAAGGGAGACCTGCCGCACATTGGTTACACATGTGCAGAAAACAAGGCATGGCTTTATAAATGAACATGTACCAATGACTGAGTCTCCGAACAGTAAGTGATGGCAGACTTGCCCCTGGCATACAGGGTACAGTGATGAGTAAGTGCTTTACAGTTTGTAACAAATCTCAGCACACTGTGATAAGCGGCATCTAACTTGATCAGGTAATATATCACCATAGTCCAGCACAGGTAACAAGGTCACCTTCACCAGCTTTGATAATACATTAATCAATAATTATAATGAAAACGTATTATAAATATTATTCTAGAATGGACCAATTCTAAGTACTTTTGGTTGTACTTTTACTGAGTAACATTTTGAATGCAGGACTTTTACTTCTAACAGAGTATTCCTACACTTTGGTACTTCTACTTTTAGCCAAGTAAAAGATCTGAGTTATTCTCCAACCTCTGTATCTAATTTAGTTTTCTCACCCGTTTGGCTGTCTTTCTTGTTGAAGGGATTTTAAGCCAATTTTGTTGGACTACTAAAGTAGGCTCCTAAAAGTGCAAAATGTTATTCCCATAAGGCAAGATGGGAATCAGGGCCAACCTTACAGTCGTACAAATAACAATGTTTTCAGGTACAATAAGGAATTTCGTTTTTAATATATAAAAAAAAACTGTGGTCACTGCACTGAATGCTTTCTATACCAAGTGATGTCATTATCGTTTTCACCACCACTTGTGTTTCCACCAAAGAAAACTGTAGCATTAAGACCATAACATCAGTAACAACATGTATCTCAAAGTGGTGCACCTCCTTTACATTATAAACATTAGCTATTAGGACATAAAGTACTGAATCTAAAATATTGCTCTTAGATATGTTTTTTCTATTTTATTTATATTATGTCTAAGTAATCAAGGCTACACTTAACCTGGTTGATTGTAGACTAATATGACTTGATCAGTGTTTTATTTTCTGATTTGCTTTATCCGTGTCAGTTTGCATGGACCAACTGTTAGAAAGAAATGTCAGTTCAATCAGGAGAGACTTCATTTTGTTTAAAGAACATTTATTGACACATGCCATATGATAAATGTTAAGTCTTTGGGGATTAGACCCCGATCCTGAAATAGTATATCTAAAAGGGGGGAAATGCAGCCGTGAGCATATAGGGGAACCCCCCGGGGTCTAGACACTGGTGATGATGCTGAAGATCTGGAGTTGATGAGGAGTTGGGATGAAGAGGAGGTGTGATGAGGTCTTTGGGTTAACTCTCCTGGCACTGGATATGATGAAAGGAGGTAGATGGGGAGGAGGTGGGCAGCAGCATGAAAACCTGAAATCACAGCAGACAGCAGGAGAGAGGAGAACAATTTTAAAGTTTGGCTGCAGCACAGTGATTGGCTGCTGAGAATGAGGTGAATGTAATTATAGACAACGCCCGTGATGAGCTGATTATATGCAGCTGCGGAGTGAATGTATATACCCAGTCTTCCTGAAACAACTTGCGCTGAGCATAATTTAATGCAATAAAACACAACATATTTCTCTGGCGCCTTTTTTCCATCATGAATCCAACGTTTTGTGCTCTCCACATTTAGGAAAATGAATATTCAATAAGCATTTCATGTTGTTTTCTGATAGAGACATCTTATGTTTGTAAATCTCCCCCTGACGCTTTGAAGACATGCAGTAACATATTAGGAGTTTTTCAACAGTGATTGTTTTACAACTGATCACAAATGGTTAACTGTTTTTGTCTAGTTTGAACCAGTTCGGTTTATGGTTGTGGCTAACCAGATAAATACCAAAGAGCCTACTTCTACACAAAGTATTGTCCTTTTTAATGATTTAAAAATAGTAAATATTGTACAGCTTAAAATGTAAATGTATGTCGTAAACAAAATGCAATACTAATAAAAGGGATATACTTTTTAGCTTTACAATATAATGAAAGCATTAACTCTAATTTCGTTTTTACCTCTGAAATGTCCACATATCTTCACAGTCCAACCAATTATATTCATTTCCAAGATTTATCAAAGGAGGGTGTGTCCCATGTTCCATAGGCAGGAGGGGGGTCTGAGGGTTGGGGATCTGAGAGTTGGGGTGCTGATGGTGTTTGTGGAGGGACTGTTCCCCAGGCTGGTGGGTAGGTCTTTCCAAACGGTTCAAATCCAAAACCAGAAGCAGCGAGTGGGGGCGCCTCCACACCAGGAACATTAGGGGCCGGCAGGATGACTATGGGGAATTTGATCACTGGGTCTGAAGCATATTTGACATCAAGGTAGACCTGTTGAGAAATTGTTGAAGTATCTTTAATCATCAGAATTATTGTACCAAATTCCTTTGTACATCCTGGGTGCATAACTCTTACTCTTTTAACTCTTTCGGGCAAACACCATTAACCATGATAGAGGAGTTTAGTCAAAAGCAGTCAGGTTCTGCAAAGTGCAGTCATAGGAGACAATAATCCAGATAGGTTGACATTGCCCAGTATCCATTCACTTTCCTTTTTTTATTTTTCAGTTATATAATTCAGAGATTGAATGATTGATGACGAATAAGATTACCAATCACATCAAAGGTGTTCAAATTCTTCTTGCAGGGTATGAAAAATGTAAATGTTAATTCAATCATTAAATTCTACAATTGACGATACACTTTTTCTCCCAGGAGACATTTTTGTACACATAAGTCACATAAGAGCAAGCAGACACATCTTTGTTGACATATGGATGCTTACCCTGAGTCTGTGCTCTGCTTTGAGGATGCTGCAGTTGAGGATGGACGGCTCCACATCGAGGGGGATGGGGAGGACCTTTAGGACATTTTGGTTAGAAGATGGAGGGATGGGCTCTCCCACCTCTCTATACAAGTCTTTAGTTGAAACTCTTCTTTTTCCTTGTGCAAAGAAGCTATGCTTTCTGTACACA